CGATTAAAAAACCCTGCAACTTCGCTGTGGATGGAAGTCTATTTTTAGAATTCCTGGTTTTCTCTTGGCGGCACCCAAATAGCATTTTTGGTTTCAATAAAATTTAAAATAAACCTTAAACCCTATGATATTGAAAATTTACATGTCTGAAAACTATAAGCACGTGTTTGACAATGAGTTTTTATAAATTCAGTTAATTCTGAATGATTGCATATTTGTGCTTGTGTGGTTTCTTCAATTCTTAAGGTTGGGTCTATATGGAACATTGACTGTTCGAAAATTAATCAATAGTATAAATTAAAATTGGTATAATATGAAATAATATGTATATAAATAAGCAATTAAATATTTACTTCAAATACTTCAATAATCTCTTCTTGACTTGCCAGGGAATAACATTTAAATTTATCATTTTTTAATGCAAGCCGTTTAGTTCTATTATTTAATATTTCTTGAATATTTATGATGCTTTCTTTTAATTCTAATTCTAATTTATTTGATTCATTGGCTTTTTTACGTATATCACCTAGTAAATTTACCATTCTAAATAAATTTTCAGATTCTGGGCTCATGGTATCACGCCTAAGTGTTACGCCTTGAAGACCCAAATTCAAAGTACTTATAATTCGCTCTGCAGGATTTGTCCAACTATAATTAGGAGCCGTACAAACTGCAACAAGCAGATCGAAATCTCTACAAAAAAAAAGACTAATCAATGCAATTTGTATGAAACCGTAATTACAACGATGATCCGGACCCCCATCGGTGTAGAGATATAAAATTGGTGATATTTCTTAATATTCATATTGAATTTTTAGCACATTTAAAAATTCAGTTGAATGTCTAATGGCAGTACTCAGTTCAAACATTGTGTCCTTGTATGATACAAACACCTGACCTTCATAAAATGATCCAGAAACATCATTAGAAATAGAAATAAAAAAAACTACTGATGGCGTTAGAGATAGTTTTAAGAAATCATGATTAGCAGCAGCCAAAGTACTTTCTTGTGCAACTATTGAGCGTTGATTTCATACATCTGTAGAAACTGCAACCTCCTCTCCGATAGGAATTTTGTGTTTATTATCTGCAGAAATTAAGCAAGTCCATTAACGATATTGGATACAAAATTCTCTAAGATATCAGAAAAGTGTTGCACAATAATGTGCATCTTCACTACTTTTTCGAAGCATTCTTCCTTGCACTTTAAATTTTACTTTAAATTGGCCAGTACAATACATTGCCTGTGTTGTAGTAGCATTTATAGGACAAAATTGAAGACGAATCCATTCATCTGATGGAATATTAATATTGGAAGGTTATGGATCACCCAAATCATCTTTTAACCTTTCTACTATAGTTTCACGCAGATCACGGATTGATAAGGCTAATGGCATATATAAGATAGTTCCATGACATCGTTCATTTACTGCAAGTAAGTTCTAATAAAATATATACTATAGTTTTAAAAAAATAAAAGTACATCTACTTGACATTCCACGATGAGTAATACCTAGTGATGTGCTATGTACAGTACTATACGTACAGTATGTACTGTATATACTGTATGCTAAAATTGTTGCTAATAACTTGTTTTAGACAATCAGATGCCAGAAAAGAACTATATATACAGTACGTACAGTACGTACTATACACTAAAATTTTTCAGATATTATATAAATGGCATATCACTAGCAACATCTAGAGAATGACAAGAATATATATATATGTATATCAGACAAATATAAGATTTTATCTGTTCATTAAAATAAGCTTCCATTTCATCCCAAAATACGTCAAATTTTGTTCCTTTAAATCCATTGTTTGTCCTCAAATCAAATGTAATATTAGGATCTGCCAACTCTAACATTAGCCGTAATCTCTCTTCTACCTCATGACTAACTGCATCTGAAGTTACAGCAGCATTTCTGGTAAGATCAAAATGAAGTATCCGTAATACTGCTGGTGTAACCTTCTGAATATAAGAATACTATTTTATAAAGAAAAAAAATTATATATTATAAATATATTAATATTTAAATATCTATTGTATAGTTATCATACCTTATTAAGTACATTTTTTCGCATTTGCCGTGTAAAGTAATGAGGTAATTCTTCATGAATTTTAGCCAACATACGTGCTTTGGTGTTTCATCTTGCCCGTCACATGATATTTCATTTTCTTTTCAGATATAGTTAATTGTTCTCAAATAATTGCCCTGATAATATCTAAATGTTAGAATAGAACGAATTAAATACGTATAATGCAAATTATTTAAAAATATCTGAAATAGTAACATTATAAAATATTCAAAAATTTTATATAAAAAAAGTATAACTTGTAAATCTTATTCAGAGCTATCCCATTAAAGATGAATGTGCTATTTAGAACTATCAAAAATTGGAAATTTTAATCGATTATCAGTTTTATTCTGACAGATATAAATAACACACCTGATAATAATTCGTGATTTGACTTTTACTAGAATGCTAAAAGAAAATAAAATCAAAGTGCTGTTGGAATACAGTCAGATCTCTCTTTAATAACATGTATATAAAGAATGATAGGAAAAGTGCATTTATAAAGGTAAAGTATATATTTGGGCCAGAACATAAGTATTTATTTAATGAGTATGTGTATTTATAGAGAGTGCACGTAGAGAGGTGCGACTGTAGTTAAAAGTAGCATTGGCTAAAAGCTTTTGGCAAGTAGTTTGTCTAGTAATAGGATTATAGGGTAAAGTATATTATTGCTTATTTAAATTGTCTATTAAAAATTTTAATCAAAATTTGTAGTCAAATTTGTTTGCAAATCCTTTAAAGAAATAAGTTATACTTTTTTTTTGCACAAATTAACGAATATGAAACTACATTAAGATCAAAATATTAACCTATATATTCCAATAGGAAATATAAGCTGTAATTCTTTTATAAATTTATATCGATCTATAGCATTGTCTGGAAGATATTGTTGAATTTAAATATGCTCATAAACCGATTTTTCAAATAAAAGATCATCCAGTTGAACATAATTGTCTTTAAGTTTATGAAGTTTACAAGCACTAACTCGATACATAGTACTGTTATTTCCAGGACTATGGGCACTTTCATTACTATAATGAAGTTCATTCATGCTAGAAGTAGTTGCAATTAAATAGTTCGAATATTTTTTTAAAATTTCAATGAAAGAAAGAACTGCAGGCATTACTTGATTCCATCTATTACTACTTGCCCATGGTTGACTAATAGAAATTTTAAGGGAACTCGAAAGATGTGCAAGTTTTTGTTGAGATAGTAGATTCTTCTTATGATGACTAGTATGATAATATTCATTATATGATTTACTATCTTGATAAGTTTTTAACTGTGTAAAAAGAGCTGGTAGATGGTATAAACGTGCACTTAATGTTGAAAGATGTGGATCAACATACCAAAGAGCACTTGCAAGACGATTTACGAATGCTTTTCCTATTGTTTTATGTAAGCCACCTACCCATCCAACATGTTGAACTTTGAAAAGTTTAATAATTTCATTATAAAGTCGATCATAGCTATTGCGCTTATTACAATGACAAGGAAGTAAAAGGTTGTCTTGAATTTGCCATTAAGATGCTGAAAGCATCTGGTTTGTCTTAAGTTGAAACTGAATTGTCTAAATATACATTAGAAGCAAGACAAAACTTAACTTGCATAAAACCTAAAGTTTCCAGCATTTTCAAATTACTGTTTAACATATTGTTTACTTCTCGCCATCCTTCAGATTTTTCTCGTCAAATAAAAACTTTTACTTCTCTATCATTATATTGTCCTAACATAGTTAAGTCAAAAAGTTCAAAAAATTTATATGTAGACTCTATACTCATTATACGCTCAGGAATAATACATTTAACACCTTCATTAACCTGAACCAAGAGATAGAGCATTTTTAAGAAAATTGTTATAGGGCAACAAGAAAATATCTTGAAACTTTACTTCGTCCTTTATTTTTATTTATTTATTATTTTTCTTATTAACATCGTTCTATTTTTCTATTTTAAACGTTATAGCCATATATATACACGCATATATTCACCTTGTATGATTAATGCCACTTTCGCTCATATTGATACTACTTTCGCTCACATATGCTATTGCTCGTGTTGCATGATTGATGCTACTTTGGCTCACATATGCTTTTGCTCATGTTGCATGATTGATACTACTTTCATTTACATATGCTTTTGCTTAAGTTGCATAATTGATGCTACTTTCGCTATTGCTCATATTGCATGATTGATGCTACTTTCACTCACACATCGCTACTACTTTCATTTATATACTTTATCACATATATCATAATTGTTCTTGTTGCATTGCAATTTTTCCTGTTGTATGTAATACTACTCTTGCTTACATGTTTCAACTTTTTTTGATTATCAGAGGCTTTAAATATTCATTTTAGGTATATAGTAGAAAGTATAGTCAGGTTTGGTAAAAATTCATTATAACTATCACAGAATTTTCTAGTTTTTAATTATTATAATAGACTTTTTAACCCCAAAACAAATTAGAAATATATTTAATAATTGTTTCAGAAGGCAAAGAAAATATTTATATATTTTTGTTGACTGAAGAAGCGAGACTTTATATAATTTGGAATTTAATCATATCTTTAAAGAAATGATATTCATTTTTTCAATTTATATTATATATGTATTGCATACACATTGCTGGAAATTTAAAAACCTTATATCGAATAAAAAACAGCTCACTCTAATTCTTATCAATTATTACAGTATTATCAGTAGAGGCTTGTTTTAAGGTTTCAGCAGTATGCAGGGTAGTCCGTCATATGCATTATTCTTGGTATATTATTTCTATGCAAGGTTTATGCATTATTTTTAAATTTCTGCATTGTCATACATATTAGCAGTTTCAATCGATCACTTGAACCCATGATTTGCCGACATTTTAGCATTCATTTGAAGCTGCTTTTGATTTAGTTTGATCGATGATCTGTATAATTTTTTGGAGTCTTATAAGTCTATAAATACAAAATAATAGCTACTTTATGTTCATCATATTTTGTTAAATTTATTTATCAGTAAGAGAAAATATAAAATGTGTTCTACAAAATATGACGAAGTTGAAACAATAACTCTATTGTAATCGCGGGACTCATGAGACTTAAAAAAATTATCGAATAAGTAATGCATCGCTAGTATCAAAGTTAAATTAGGCCTTGCATTATTGAAAGTTATTTCTAATCATAGTAAAAGTTTGTTAGATAATTTTAATAATATTAAAAGGCAATATTATTATATATTTATGAAACCTATTTCTTACATATAATTCACACGGAATACAGAATACTGAAAACTTTCCTAACTCTTTTGTTTTTAGTCATAAAATCTTTCTCAGTATTGCCAGAGCAAAAATAGACATGTGATTAAAAATGTAGTATCTGATATTTCATCAAGTATATATGAGTGCCGCCAAGGAAAATCCTGTCATCGAACTTTCAGTTATATTTTGTGTACAGTTAGCCGTCTATGGAAAATCTATCATAATAATAGATTTTTCATAGATAGCTAACTGTACACAAAATATAATTGAAAGTCCGATGACAGGATTTTCCTTGGCGGCACTTATATAATGCAAAAATCTCTCTATATACACAGAGATAATGCGTTAATAACTGCATATTGAAAATAAAATTTCTTAAATTATCAATCTCAAGAAAATGAAGGATCTCAAACTCTTTGCATAGAGATAATATGCTAAGAATAATATGTACTTAATAGCAACTATTTTATGCATACTACTGAAACTTAAAATAAGCCAACACTAAATTTGGCTTATCTTAAATGCGTTAGTTGATCTTTATTCTAAATAAAGTGTTTGAAGTTTTTCCTGCACCGTATATATGTATATACATATGATTAGAAGATTTATATATAATAATTGGATCAATTGATTTAAACTCTATTCATCAATCTGTTTTATTATAATAAATATATAATCAGATTAAATAGATTAAAATAATTATGCTATATGATATATATTATGTAATAAATACTACAAGAACTATTTGTAAAACATGTAAAGAGTGTTGTATCAAGTTATGCGTATTTGTAGTAGTTCTTAGCTTTGTGACAATTACTAAACCTATATCTATTCTAACTAATCGCTTATATGAGTATACTGCTAGTTAATAAATATCACATGATTAAATACTGAATTTCTATTGGTTATTATATATTTATTATATATATATAATATTTATTTTTGATATCATAAATATTTTAAAAAGAGGGGGGTTATGTTAAACAGAAAATTAAATTGGTGTGGCCTAACTTAGTAAAAAAAAAAAGTTTTAGATGGAAGCACATGACATTTCACTGGTAGTGATTTTTATATATAATTTCAGTCACAAATTTTTATATAGTCAGCTAATCGTATTTCAACAATATCTCGCCATCTACTAGGCCGATTTGGATAATCTAACCACTGTTAGATGTGTCTTAATGAGTTCTACAACTTTCAATTAGTAAGCATATGTCATTAACTTAGTAAAAAAAATGTTTTATATAGCAGACGTCTCATTTTACCTATTCTTTAGTTGATAGGCAGATTATCAATTAATGCACTATTATATAATTTACATTCTGATAACTCTTTTCTGTAAAACTGAAGTTTACAGTATTTTTGAGGTTGAAAATATAAAAAGAGTAAATTTTAGCTATACTTGCAACCTGTTTAGGTGATAACCATAATCTGTATATGCTATATAGCTATTTTAGAATAGAAAAATTATGTTTACAACTTGCTTATAAAAGTATAATAGCAAAAATAATTTTAGCAAAGTTTTGAAAATATTTATAATTATTATCAATTACACCCTACTATAAACTTAGTAATATTGAAAAATCATAATCAAAGTCAAATGGATATTTGTTATTTTTATAATGAATCAGTTGAGTAATCATCTTTCTGTAAGTATCTTCAATATTGTAAATTCTTTTATAAAATTTAGTGATTATCTTACAGATTTGCTGAAACATGTCTTTGTATAAACCAAGATCTACAAAGAAAATAATAAATATAATTTTAAAAATTTTAAAAAGTTTTTAAGTATTTGCAATCTATTAAATAATTTTACACGGGTTTTCTATTCAAAAATATTTCAGTTATTAGACAAAAACTTATTAAAGCTATATACCTTTATATAAAGTAGTTATGCCAGTATGAGCCAATAATTAGTATATTTATATATACATATATATGTATATATGTATATATATACGTATATATCTAAATATTTCAAGATCAATTAATTTGGTTTAAATTAAAAAATGCTACTATTTATATAGATATATAGTTTTAAAACTTAGAAGAATTATTTAGTACTTTCAAGCTTAAATATTATACCTTTATAATTAGAGTAAAAAAGATAAGCAAGTAGATACGGTTTAATATCAAATTCAGCATAACTCTTGTTAAAAATATTAATAGCTGACTTGCAAAAAGGATTATTTTATAGAAATTCTATTAATTGCTATAGTTAACTTTACTATGCTAACAAAACAATCAGCAAGGCTTGTTGTATATACTTCTAAACTATATATTGCTTCTTTAATTGGTTAGATTATTGATGTAATTTACTGACAGTTTGTATAAAATATATCATCATCATCATTTAAAATTGAAATAATTGTTCTGTTACTAATTACATCAAGATTATTCTCTAAAATCTAAAGAAAATATATATAATCAATTTTTAAATTTATACAAATTGTATTTAAAACAAATTAATTGAATATATAATATATATTAATATACTTTATCAAAAATGAGTTTTAACTTTACAATTGAAGATGTAGTTTCAAAGACAGAAGCTCATCTTGTTTTGATATATATTTTTAAGCTGCTACTATCTATTTTCAAACTTTGTATATTGTTATAAAGAAGTCTGCATGCTTTGTATGACTTTGTAAAAAATTGAATAACTTGATTTGCCTGTTTTAAAACTTGATTGATAGATCGAATTTTAACTATATTGAAATTTAGCGCATGGACCATACATCTGATATTCCAAATATAGAATAATTGTATATAGTAATTTTGCAAACAACATGAATATTACTCCCATTATTAGTTACATATGCAATGAATTTATTAGAGCCAATTTTATCAACAATATTAGAAATTTTAGAAGCAAGAAATTTACTAGTTTGTATAGCATCAAAAAAGTCTAAAATAGAATATAAATATTTTTTTCGATCAAAGGTTGATATAATAAAATTAAATAATAAACTGTTATTTGGGCTTGATTATCTGTCAAGAGCTATTTTTTTAAAAATAAAAATAATAATAAGTAGTAATATAGTAATATATAAGTTAAATATAGATATTTTGGCAAACATAGGTATTATGATGAATTGAATATATTACAAGAAAACTATTTTAAAATTTTAGTGCAATATAAATAACTTTTATTAATAAATTTATCATTAAATATTTTTGCGCAAAAAATTAATTTTCTGCATCAAAATGTATAACTATTAATAAAAAATTATTTGTGTTGCTTAAAGGTAAGTAAAAGATGATATTTCAAACAACTTTATTTAGTAAATAAAGTTTAAACTAGCAACAAACGTGCAAAAATATCAAGATCAATTTGAAAATCGAGAGGCATAAGATTTTTTAGACTGAGAACTGCTACAATCAAGCATTAATAATAAGTAATTTTTAATGCATCCTTTTATGTTTGTTGGTAAAAAATCTAAAGAGTTATTTAGCAAAAAGTCTTGCTCTAAATGCAAAATATATTAGCATATTTAATAATAATCATCATGTTCATTAAAATACTTATAGGAAAGTTAGAAAATATTGTTGCATAAAATATTATATAATTTATATAACAATTAAATTTTTTTTTTTT